GTCTCGTGAGAGGACGAAATTAGGGGAGAGAGGTCGTATTTCCGAAAACTTCCCCCAGCGGCAGGATGCGCCCTGATTTCCATACAGTTCCAGGGAGTTTCTAGAGAAAAGGGTGCACGGTAAGCTAAAATTTCACTTAAAAAGTTCTCATTAATTGTGGCGTACTACCGATTGCGCCAACACAAGCGAGTCTGCAAAGCAGAAGGGAAGCAGTAGTCTACATGTCACTCATGCAGGCTACTGCTCCTCTTCTGCTTTGCAGACTCGCTCGTGGTGCTTCTCCTTCATGTAGATGAAAACTTTAAACAGTGGGAGACCAACTCAGTTTAGAATCATGTTTACTGGAGAAGAGCTGGCAGTTGTCATCAGTCATTTCCTCAAAGAGAAGAAATCCTTGGACCTTTCAATAACATTCGCCCCATCCCAAGTTTCGGGTAGCCTGATTTACGAGAGATTAGGATTATTTGCAAAGACGACATATAAGTTGTTGTCTTTCGTTCAAATGGAGTTGGTTGCAGTATAAAACTAAAAAAATCAAATTCACAGCCCATATTCATAAATTATCAAAACTGACTTTTACTGTGGACGAATCGCGTTCGATCTCTCTTTGGCCCGGAACTGAGCAGTTATCACACTGAGGACGTGTCGACCTATCATCTTTCGCGAGAAGCTGAAAGGCGAACTTTCTATTATCAATCGGCTGCTATTATATATGAGCAATCAACAAATTCTACAATAATTCTGCCTGCAGCAGACCACCGAGCGACTTCGTTCATCTCTGAACGTGGTACATACATACTAGGGAAGGTCGCCAGGTCAAAGTGGCCATTTCGTAATGAGATGTAGCTCACTAGACGTGGTTTTGGACGCTGATCTCGAATCTGCCTTCAAAATTTGCAAGAGCGATTCTCTGAACGGAGTTATGGAGCCGCGTTTACCACGCAACAGGTCATGGGATCGGATCCCTGCTGAGCTTAACTTTTTTGCTTCTTGCGCAAACGTGGCAAAAAGTGGTTGTAGCGTCACTACTACATTAGCGCTCTCCTAAACTTGCCTGAAAAACAGTTTGCGTTCGCTTACTGGCGCGCTTGGTGCCTTATGATCTAGGAGAATTTTTGGATGTACAGGTGCCCTTGGCGCGCAGTGCAGGCGTTTTCGCGCTGAGCGAGTGCCATATTCGTATTTATGGGGCGAACTACGCCTAGGTAGAGGTTTCTAGCCAAATCTGGCATTTTGACCTGACTTCGAAAAGTGAAGCATCCATGGGTTAGTTCAGTTGATGTTCACACCTATTCAGCTGCAGATACATTCTCCTGCACAAAGCCTCGTCTTGCCACTTCTTACGCATTCATTTTGTTACTGCTCCAGTTTTCCTGGTATCTAAAAGCAAATTCCGTCCAAAGACAAGCAATCGACAAGAGACTGGCCCTGGAACTATTGGTGACCATCATTCGATCAACTGCTACCGCACTTTTCAAAGTTAGGTCAAAACCTCACATCTGGCTAGAAACCTGTCCCCAAGGGTAGTTTTGCTCCCTGAACACGAATATGACACCCATTTGGCGTTTGAGTGTTTTCTAGACTCAAAAGAGACTTTCCTCACGAAATGCAAAAGAAAACCCCTCTCAAAAATCCGAACCCTCCATAGCACGCCCACGAAGCAAGACCGCTACCGCTACACCATGACGCCGTTAAGTGTAGAGGGGCTTCGCGGCTATTCATGCAAATTGGCTGGCAACCGCGCTCGACTCCTGTCCCTTCATTTTATTCTAATGAACCTTCATAATTCTTTCAGAGAATCGTTCTGCAAATTTCGAAAGCAGATTTGAAATCAGCGTTCAAAAACACGTCCCGTGATGTACGTCTCTTTACAAATGGCCACTTCGACCTGGCGACCATCCTAGTTAGTAGGTTACTCAATACAGAACTTTACCAGTGGATACCAATGGTTTTTTAGTAATAAGGTAGGGGACGGCTATTGACAACTAAAATATATCTCACGGCAAAACTGAAAAACAAGTCTAATCAACAACCTAAATACTTGAAACCAACATTGTATACTCCTGGTGGATAAATTGAATCGCACGCGGCGAGCACTTGTTGCCGTAATTTCCGAAAACCCTATAGAAGAAGCCGCGAAAGCAAAATTCTGCGCACCGCGTAAAGGACTACATAAGTATTAATAAGGAGAATCCGCGAAGCACGAGATCGACCAGCTGCGCATGCGGTCGTCGATTCTCCTGGTCGATACACATCCAACCCTTCACGACAGGCGCAGAACTCTCCGGCGTCTCGCATGAGTCGCAGATTCTCCCTATCGATATGTAACCAATATTTTCGCGGATGCGGCTCTTTCTACACTAGCCAAGATCGCACATGGCGAGCATACCTCCCTTATTATTGGACTTTCATGAAATTCTGTTAAAAGCATTGGCATCAGCTCCAAACCCTATGTTATTTGTGGCCTACAATGAACTTAGAACTCATTCAGAGCCACTCTGAAATGCGGTGATTCTTAGGTAATTGTGAAGTTGGATACTAGTACAAGTTTCGGCATAACTGCTATTCCAAGAACAAACCTTCCTGAAAAAGCGTCCGTATTGTTCCGTTAAACTCGCAAAGTATTCCTTGATGGTAACAACCTAGAAAAAACTTCATATTTGTTTTAAATCTGAATATTCGCGAGAAATATACGGGTTACCGTTGATGAATCATCTGGCAATATTTTGATACGATCACATGTACTCGGTCGTGGATTTGCAGATGGGTCAATACGTGATACCCTGAAGAAATAAGTTAGAAGAGCTCAATGGCCGACAGTTACACGATTTTTGTTGAAACACACTTTGGAATCTCATGTTTGGGAATCACTTTAGGTGGTTTAATAGTAGATGAAGGCGACATGATCCAGTCTACCAGGAGAGAGTTAGTTTCGATCTGCAATCAGAAAACTACTGAGGGATGGTTCCTTTAGCTGTACAAAACAGAATCTTCACCTTCTCTATAATACACTTTATTCCTTCTGCGCCTCGCCGTCTCCTTGAACAAGTGAGTGTTCTGGGAGGCTTTTGTTCCCAGGAAGCTGACCGACCTAGAACGCGGAAAACACTCCTGATCAGAAACAATTGAAAATCTTCAGATAATTTCTATTAAATAATATGCAACTACTGCGGTAGTGCTCGAGTGCTGATACCAAAAAAATTGTTTCAGAATTGTAAAAAATAAGTCGAAGATCCGTAACTGCTTGAGGGACTATCCTACTTTAAACGACTTGTTTGTGAGGGAAGCCTGCGAAATGGGAAGATTCATCTCGTCCCGTGATAGCTCATAGAAAGCTTTTCCAACTATATTCGCGTGGCATATTTCCTGCTTTCCACAGAAAGAAAAGCGAAGAGAAAAAAATATAGTGTTTCAAAGTTCCTCTTTTCACAAACATATATTAACAAAACAAAAAATAAAACGAGGAATTAAGTTAGTTACCGAGTGCATCGCTGATGGCAATAGACACTCGTTCACCAGGTACCAGAGCCTTTGATTCATCTGAACGCTCTTGGCGACAGAGAAAGACACCTGAACGTCCTCCTTCCTTGACGACGAAACTGAAATGGAAGCTCACAGAATCAGCGGCAAATGAATAATAAGCTAGTCTAGAAGGGGGTACTATTGAACTATCCCCACCCCAATCTTCAGGAGCGAGACCAGTTTTTTACCGCTTTTTCTGCACGAAGGCATTTCGGCTGAAAACTTGTCATCCGGGGAGTTTGACCTCTTGAATACCACGTTCGCTTTGCCTAGAACTGTCTGGCGCTGGCGCCAAAACACCGCAAACTATCAAATTCGCAAAAAACGTGTAGGGTGGCGATGGTGTTAATGATGGGAGACAGGGGGTGCAGGTGACAGAGCAGCTTTCACTTGTTGTCTGCACCCTTTTCCTTAGATAGTGACCCTTTTTCATATGTGAGAGAGCCCAGGACGAGCGAAATCAACAAGAAGCCGAAAGGAAAGGGACGCGGCCAAGCTCAGCCTTAGCGGAAAGGTGTCACCTTTCTGCTAAGGCTGAGCCTGGCCTGAAGAGAAACCTCACCTTTACAAGTTCAGCCTTAGCAGAGCGCTTGATGGCGCCAGCGCTAGGAAGTAATGTCATATTCGTGTACGGAGCTCGAAAGTCGCGGAAATCATGCGTTTCGCACGAATGGAGCGACCAGTCGCGAGGTATGAACGCACTCTACTGCATTAACGTGAAAACAAAAACGACTGTACCGATGCCTGCCGCGATACAATAATGTAACGTCATTTATACAATCGCTAGCATTCCCTATCCAATCCTTATACATCACATAATTATGCGCCGAGTTGTAGTTAACCATTTCAGTCTAAAACATGTGCTTAAAAAAGGTGTAAATGATGATTACATCATGACAAACTCACATATTCATTGTTTCCTAAAGAGACATTCTTTACTATGAGGTTCTTAGATGGGACTACTAAAACGTCACCGCGGACCTGAAACGAGCGTATTTCTATTGGATTCATACAGTGGATACTGAACGGCTTTGTACTCTGCGTCAGCATTTTGCGGTAGTGTGCCGAGCTTTCTAAGCGTACGACATCTTTTCAGTGTTTTGAGCAGAGCTCTAGATCGATACCTGAACTGTACAAGTCGCTGAAGACATCGGCGCTCGCAACTCTGGATCGATGCTTACACTTTCTTAGTCGTTTGGAACGCTAAACGCTGCCGTAGGCTTGAAACGCTGACGCAAAGTATGAACGCACTCTTACAACCGACAAACAATCTGATATCCAAAAGAAACTGGCAGTGTTAGACCAACTAAGAAAGGGAAATATTTTATGATGTACCTCAACATTTAAAACTTGGCCTATAAGAACATCGGATCGCGGTATGCATAAATCCTCGCACTCTGGATTACCGATATGTTCGTTTTCAAATTTGATCACAGTTTCACCGATAGAAAATCCTCTGTCCACAACCAGAACCTGGAATAGCAAGACATATAAGTGGTGACCCTCAGGCCTTACTCATATAGGCACCGAGCTGGAGAATCCATAAAGGAATACATGAATCGGAGCGCTGCTTGGCTCGATAGGATTACCAAACTGGTACTCAGCAAGGCCTGTACTGGAGTCTGTGAAGACGTTAATTTCCTGTACCAGAGTGACCGAAGACGGCCCGTGATAGTACTCACTTATACTATTTCGCAGCTTTAAAAGAGTTTACAGGTTCGATAGAAGTGAGACCGTTGAAGCTGAGGTTAGTTGAAAAGACTTAGAGAAAGAAATCTAATAAAAGTGCAGAAATCTCCATCTAAACCACTACTGAGCCGAAAGCCGAACAGCGTACAGAAAACGCGTGCGGATGTGTGAAGAGCAAAAATTTTCATCCCCTCTTTTCCACCCTTTTTCCCAGTTCTCTCACTCTTGCAACACTTCAACCCTTCTGATTCACATACATTCCTGTTCCTGACTTTCAGATTCTTCGACGGCAGCGCTGAGTACAACTGCAGCCTAACTAGAAATAGTGGCACCTCGACATTATTGGATGAAATTTTTGCAGAAAAACTCATTCCATCTATTGAACCGGGATGGCGTCGAAGCTGTTCGGCGTGACGGATAACAAATACTCCAGAGTCCCGAACACGACGATGATTGAGGATGTGAGCAAAGTTGTTGTAAGGGGTTTAAAGTTACCTCTTCTACAAGTCGTCGAATTCGACGACATGACGGAATTGTTTCAAGCTCGAGTGTTTGACAGGAAATCAATCCTTTGTACAGAGACACATCTAGTTTCTTCCGATCTATCTGAACAGCACTGGGGGTTTACCATTGGGACGGAAACAGATGCTGCGAGCTTACCTTGTGAACATGAGCTAAACACACTTCACCCCTCTTCAGGTAGACAACAGTGTCCTCTTTCAATGCATAAGGTCGAGTGAAATCACAGCAGCGATAAATCGTTTCTAAAATTAAGCATGGATACACTTCCACCAATTCAAAACAGTTAACTGAAGCATAATGCATAGCATAGCATCTCAAGGAGAGACTTACAGAGGCTCGCCTAACAATAAGGGCACGTACGAAACCCGAACTGTGACTTCTTTGAATCACCCACCCTCTCTAATTCATTGAAAGTTTTAAAAAAGATAATAAAGACCAAAGAGCTACAAATCAATAACAGACTACTTACAGGTTTCGCGAATTATGACGTCGTGCGTGACTTACTCGTTACTGTTCGAATTAACAATTCGTCAAGCCTATCTGTATACCAAAATGGGGGGCACTGGTTGAATAACCGGAACATGGACCCCTTACCGACCGAACGAGCACCAGTAGAAACCGCTTCCGTGAGGCTGCGTTCCTTTGCGGCAGCGTCCGCCAGCAACAGCATTTCGCGCCCATCAATGTCAGCGACTAAAGAAGTATAGGTACCGATCTCGCGTCTACCAGCGTCTAGCTGGGTTCAGCAGTGTCTTTCAGCGTCTACCGTCTATTAGCGTCCACCAACGTTCAAGAGGAGAGTATGGAGGAAGTAAGAGGGTAGCAGGCTGCTGGTAGAGCATGGTGAAGTAGGAGAGAGCACGCGGCTGGATGAGGTGTCGTGAAACTGCGGCGCGTGCAACCGCATTGTACAACTGCTAAAGCACGGAAACGCTGCAATCGACGCCTGATCTAGCAGTCTGTTACTTCCTACTCCCCTATACTCTACACTCATGGATGTAGGTGGACGCGACCGTTCGCTAGATCGATCATACTTTCCTAGCCGCTGGCGCTGATGAACGCTCCAAAATCTGGTGATCGGTGGTGGACGCTGCTACAAAGTATGAACGCAGCCTTAGCGGGTTCGAAAAACGCAGAAGCTTCCTTCAGCGGATCTGCCCTTCAGTGATGAATAGGGGACTGCGCGAGTTGCGAATGTGCAAGAACTATGAGATGAGAATTGACCAGCTCTATTCACTGGTATGATTTGCACATTCCGTGAATATGCGGATTCTCCAGACGATGGCAATATCTACTCCCGCTACGTATACTACCAAACCGCGACTTCTCTAGAATGTTCGTATTTTGGCTCGCCACAGGTTTGTGATCACTGAGTTTCCATGTGAAGCTCTAGTTGGCAAAGATATGGGAGTAAACCATAAGGATAACTGACTAAGATTTGGTTCGTAATGCGAAGAATGACGTGCTCCAGGCCGTCGCGAGTTCATGCTAGAGAGGTGAGAACTCTTCTCTAAAAAAACTTGAAGTTAGGTATAATCAAAAGTGCAGGTCTCTGAAGCAAATGCGAATCTTTACAAAAACACAATACCTGTTGGAGAGGCGCTGCCCTTGCTTGAGTGCGTCGCCTCTGCCTCTTCAACGCGCTTATCAGAGTTCTGGCCCTCACCACTCATTCCTGAAGAAAAAAAGAGGCAGATTCCTTACAATACTTCACCGATAAATAAAATACGCGTTGTAGTGGGAAAACGTGTAAAAAAACCGCATTATAGACCATGTCATCGTAGAATCGGAGAGCGGTTTATATGAATCGGTTGGAGAGTAGAAGAATCACGAGATTTTGGAGAGTTAGCGGAAAAGAATAGGTATAATTCGATGACCTAGCTTCACCTGTGCAATTGGGAGAGTTGAGAAAACGAGAAATTGGGAGCTGTAAAAGTCAGGTCCGAACGTCGCATCAAACGGAAAGAATCCAATCAATTTTGAATGTGTAGTACTAATGTGGAATCCAAAGTTTATTTCAGGAACGTCTCTCAAGTCCCAAAAATTTTAAAAACTTTTGAACTTGTGATGTTTTCTGAGTTTTTTTGAAATGAACATTGGGGTTTCACACTGGGACCACTTCAGATGAAATGAGACTCCGGGTAAGCAAAACTCCGAACAATCGACTCTATCAACTATGCCCACGGAGAGAATCTCAAATTAATCTGTTTCTACTCATTTTAGCGCTGTTTCTCCAGTTCTGCGATTCTACTACTTTCGCAATTCTACAGCCACGCGATGAGTATGAATAAGCGGCACTGGTGGGATCAATCTGTAAAGCTGGAAATGGTGCAATTGAGTCGCCTTGGTTACAGGACGTACAGGCTTTCACAGGGTGGCCTGTACAAGCTTCCCGAGTACCACTCGGCGTCCCTACCACGTCTTGTCGCTAGGGAAAATGTTTGCGAAATACGACCCCCGGATTTCCCCTGTGGTACGATCCCTCGTACCCATCCTACCTACCATCTTCCATAGTTCTCCCTACGTCCGCCACTTTTCCCAGTTTCCCAAAACATTTCCCCCCCCCCTAAAAAACAGGCGGTAGGGGGTATGGCAGATGTGAAACAGGAAATACCGCAATAGGTCACAACAGTGAAAAATTCTCTTGCGCACGGAACAAATTTTCCTATGGCCAAATACAGCCCCCTCTCAGAGCGATGAGCGAATACGACCTCCCCCCCCCCGAAGGGAGCCTCCTAACTCAGGATAGCGCGCGTGAAAAAAGAAAGTGTACCATCAAGAGTTTCTTTCCAGAACAAATATGACCCTCCCCATCCCCCGCCCTCCACCCGTCTCCAGCATCCATGTGCTGGGAACCTCGCTGGCAATTCCCCAGCGTACGACGTGGCTTGCGCACCAAACCGAACTGCGCCGCACAAGCCCTGCGCTTCTTCGGGATCTTTTAAACTCTTCATCATTTCCAGCATAGTCTCTGGATATCTTATATGAAAGTTATACAAGCCAAGCATCGATGAATATAGCAACGCGAAACTGGGCTTGTTACGGTAACTATTCGTGAATGTTCGAAAATCAAACGGCGATGAAATGGCTCGTTGACGCAGCAACGATGAGAAATGCGATGACGAGGACGTACACGCGCATGACTAATAAGTTGTATGCATAATACTTCAATTTTATATGCCATGAGTATGTACGTGTGATGACGACAGAGTATGGAAAGGAAATGCTTTCTCGCTGGCAAGAAAGGAAGCCATTTCAATAGAGGAAAAATGAGTTGCAGTGACCGAAAAAAACCACTTGTGGACTAAACTCACTAGCGGACAAGGAGATGTATGCTCCCTCAAGAGAAATTTCAAAGAAATGCTCACTGGTTTTGAAAGCTCATCAACACTGGCTCTTCTGCATTTAACCGAGGAAAACTATTACCATTCTTCACATATTCTCCTCACCAATCCCAGCTCCACAGTTCGAATGTTAGTGCCCCCACATGGGACTGTTCCTAAGACCAGTCAGTACGACAGCAAAAGATTAAAAAGAAGAGGACGATCACATCTAATCGGAACTGGGCATTCCATGCAGTTGTCGGGCTTTTCAATCCGGTTTCACACGTTGCAAGCTCAGTCAACTCCTCCGCGAAGAAAAAACAGTCTAAAAGTTATTGTAGTTCATTCGGAAAACAATGGATAGGAGCGCCAAACAAATGTAGCGAAGCGATCGCGCAATCAATGCCTTCGCCTTCTATGTCCTTGGGCGCAGGAAATAAGGGAGCAGCACGCTTCGCTGCTTCCTTCCGGTTACATCCGCAGACTGACTACAACTTACGTCTAAGCATTCTTTACAGTCAACTTAGCAGTTAAAGCGAAGTTCTCAGATGTTGTGACAGCTTCGAAATATTCACTAGAAGATGTTACGAATAAAATACCTGCCCAAAGGAAAGTCATGTTCATAAAAACACCCGACCGAACAGCGCCCTCTACTGTGCTGCGATCGATCGTACAACCTCGCTCCATCGCCACTTTGCGCGCCATTTAAAAGCGAGCATTCAAATGTGCTGGCACTTTGCCAGTTTGAAGCAGTTGGTCGTTTTTTATTAAATGCATTTTTGTTTTTAGAACTCGTTCATCGGATCGTTGATAGTAGTTCTTTCCTATTTAGGCTCTACAATTTCCAGTCAAATTATTGCTTCTTTCTGCTGTGTGCCTTTCTAAATACTATTAACCTCCCATCTCTTTGGCCACATTGTTGATTTATCCGACGATTCCTTGGTTTCCTCAGACTTCTTGCTATGTTTGGACTGGTTGAAAAGTGTTGAAGTCTATGATGGATGGGTCCCTGTACTCCCCTCATCTCGTGGACGTCATGAAGGATGCGCGAGATAAGGTGTGAACCCAGGATGCTCATTCAGAATATGATAATCAGTCAATTGCGACGCGCGTTAACTCAGTTCGCAGATTCTCCAGTTTTTGAATTTTCTTGGCGCCTTACTCTCCAGTCGCCGATTTCTCCTTTTTCCCGGAGCGATTAAAGCCTTCAACCTTCTTGCAGCTCAGTGAATTGAAGTTTGCGACCGTAATGCTGGGGTACTGATGTTGCTGCTTGCTTCCTTCGAGTGCGACTAAGCAGAGATGCAGTAATATCATTTACTTCTTCTGCGTGGTCTGTGCTTTGATCCAGTGTTGTCGTGTGTGGCTGCGTGCCACTGGTGTTTGTGGGGGGGGGGGGTGTGTGGCAGTGTGTGTGTGTGTTTGAATCCTGGTTAATGTTTCTTTCTGTCTGATTTCTGGCGACATTCTTCTTTCGTCATAGTACTACACTAAATATTTAAAGCATTTGACTTAGGCATTGTTCACATCTGCGGTCCAGCGTTTCTCTGAAACGCGGCGGTTCGGCGAAAAGCTTTCGATACATATCGACTGGCGGTTGGGCGAAGAGCCTGGCGGTTGGGCGAAAGGGTTTTGGTACGTATCGACGGGCGTTTCGCCAAACCGCGACGTTTTTCGCCTTCGACAAAACGCTAGCTCCATCGCGGTGGCGTTTTTCGCCAGCGAAATCGATACACATCTACTGCTTTTCGCCCAACCGCCGTTTCGTCAGCCTGGAGACTGTGAACAATGCCTTAGCATTTTAGACCTAGTAATGAAGAAAAATCGAAGCGCGAATCTTGTGGCAGCTGAAGGTGAAAGAGTTGACAACAGCGCTCCCAAGCCTTCATCCTCGATTACAAGGTTTACAAAGTAGTAGTTTAACATGTTGCTTGCCTTTTCCAAATCATTTAATTTTAGGCCAAAGAAAAGGGAGAAAATTAGTGCTTATGAGCAGGCCAAAAAGGTATACGAACGGATACAACAACAGAAGGCACAAGAGAAAGTTGCTCGCCAGTTGGAGCGAGAGAAAAGACAAGCTGCTCTGGATAAATACAACCGTTCAAAGAAGCAAATGAACAAAGCTCTGCGAAAATGTAACAAAAAAGGTCAACCGAATCTTGGTGCACAAATGGAAGTTTTATTAAAGAAAATCGAAAAGAACATGGAAAAAGAGTAGCACATAACATTGAACTATTTTGTGATTGTTAGTTTTTACTTTTGAATATTAAGTCACTTATTTTTATTGTAGGCACGCCATTTGGATTGTGTACATATTGTCCCAGCAGATTTTATGTCAGTGATTAGCAAAGACCATCATGTTGGAGTTTTGCTACCTTTGTTGTTTTTGTTATATTGAACCCCGAGATTCGATAAATATTTCGGTTTAGTTAGAACCTTTTTGTAAAATGGCAGATAATCCGTTTGTGATTTCTGAATGATCCAGTCTCTTTATTATTTCCTCGTCATCTTATTTTGCATCTTGGAGTCTTAATCCCCGCATATGTCTTGGACAATGATTTAATTCGCTTCATAATTTGTTCTCACACATTCTCGGAAACGCTAGCATTCGTTCGCTTGTCCCAGTCTCCCTGAAAGCGCCTTCATACTTCGCGATTCGGTCGCTTGAGTCACGCGGTGCAAGCGTTTTGATCGCCAGGTATGAAAGCCCTGTTGAAAATATGCTGGCCTATCGCTTGCCTCGCTGCACTCGAGGGAGTCCACGTTGCGGTTCGGCGAAGTCCACTGCTCTGGGGCTTAAGACGAGGTCACGCTCGGGTTCTATTTGTTCGCACTTTTCCGTGTTGAGCCT